CATCGCTAAAGCGGGAGTAATGGTGATCCTGTACCTTTTTTATAAAACTTTAGGGAGTTCCCATTCACTTCACGTGTTTAGTGAGAGTTGGGCACTGCCAGCCTTCAAATGTGCGGTTGTTGCGGGAGGGGCTTGCGGCTGATGGTACCGTTGAGCCCAAAGGGCATCCTGATTCGGAAGCCTCAAGCGGGCTTGGGAAAACGGGAGGGCGAATCGGATGCAACCGGCTTGCTTCTCAAGCCTTCCAGTTTGCTGGAGGGGTGCCTTAGGGGTACCCCTGGTGATAGGAGGTAGAGAAATGGCCTGGGCCCTGTCCCCTTCAGCCCTCCAGTGGCAGAAGGGAGGAGTTTGGAGCCCTGCAGCCGTGATGGGTTCTGTCCCAGCCCTACCATTTTGTAGTTCTGACACCCTGAGCAAGTGAAGTGTTCCCATGTCTAAGACAGAATAATCTCCCTTCAGAGGTTGTTTGGGTTAAGGTCTGGTGTGTACTGCCTACTGCGCAGCACCTGGCACACTCAGGGAAGCACTTAGAAATCTAACGGATGGGCACCCCCAAGCACCAGGTCTTTGTGATAAAACACTAGGAATTTACCCATTTGTTAACAACTTGCTCCTGGGCGGTGGGGAGAGGGGCAGCGTAAAGAGTCCTATAGAAGTTATTTTGGGTCCCTGGGGACACTCAGCCTTGGTTTTAGGATTGACTGCCCTCCTGAGCTTTCGGCCTGTGTTTCCTGGCAGATGCCTCTGACTTCCGGTTGTCAAAATGGAACTTGCCTCCAAACCCCTTCCAGTTCTCCTCTGCTGCCTGTTTCTGCTGGTTCTCACTGGCCTCCCAGTCCCCAGGTTAGAGAGCGTGGGAGCCGTTTTTCACTCCCCAACTAAGTCAAGCCGGCCCTGCAGAGGCTTTGGTAGCTCTGGCCCTACTTCGTCCCCACCCATCTCCTCTGGAACCCCTGTCGTCTCTCATCCTGATTATGAGAGCCAGCCCACATGCCGCCTCTCCCTCTTTTGCAACGTATTCCATCACCTTTCTCTCTCTGGCTGCCCTCCATTGCAGGACCCTTGAACATCTGTGAAGAAATGACTATTCTACATGGGGGCTTCCTGCTGGCTGAGCAGCTGTTCCGCCCCAAAGCACTAGCAGAGTTGACCAAGTCTGACTGGGAACACGTCGGGCAGCCCATCGTGGAGGCCTTGCAGGAGATCTCGGCCGCAGCGTGCACCCAGCCCTTTGTGTGGAGGAAGAAGGCGCTGATCATCATCTGGGCCAAGGTGCTCCAGCCCTACCCCGCCACCACTTCGGACACGGAAACCTGGTGGCAGGAAGACGTGTTCTTCTCCGTGGGCAACATGCTCCCGACCATCAATCACACGGTTCTTTTTGAGCTGCTCAAGTCCCTGGAAGCCTCTGGACTCTTTGTCCAGCTCCTGATGGCCCTGCCCACCACCATCTGTCGCGCGGAGCTAGAGCGCTTTTTGGAGCACACGGCTCTCGACACGTCCTCGAAGGACGTGGCCTTCTTCTTGGACATGTGGTGGGAGATGATGAAGCACACGGGCGACCAGCAGGACCCGCTGCTCTCTCAGTTCAGGACAATGGCCCATAAGTACTTGTCCTCTTCGGATGAGTTCTGCCACCCTCCCAAGAGGTTTAAGTCAGACCCAGATGTGTGTCCCACCATGCCCCTGTTGGCCATGCTGCTGAATGCGCTGAAGCAAATCCAGAAGAAAATCCTGTGCCCGGCGATGAAGTGCTGTGCCTTAGCCAACCTGGCCGACATGCTGACGGCTTTCGCCCTGGTGGAGGAAGACCCCCAGGAAGTGTCTGCGACCGTGTATCTGGACAAACTGGCCACCGTGATCACCGTGTGGAACTCGGACACCCAGAACCCGTACCACCAGCAGGCGCTGGCAGAGAAGGTGAAGGAGGCAGAGCGGGGTGTCAGCCTGAACTCCCTGGCCAGGCTCCCCACAGAGACGCTCTTTGTGGCGTTCGAGTACCTGCAGTGTCTGCTCTGCGAGTGGGGCGAGGAGCTGCAGGCCCTGCTCAACGGCAGCCAGGGGACAAATTACGAAAGCTACCGCCTGTGCGAGAGCCTGACCTCCTTCAGCCAGAACTTGAAGCTCTACCTGGATACCGCCACCTTGTCTAAGGAAGAGAGGCAGGTGGTCTCTGAGCTGGCCGACTGTGTCAAGGGCTTCCTGCAGAAAACCAGCCAGGTGCTGAAGGGCCAGGGCACGGAGAAAGACATCGCTGCTTCGATAGCCATGGCCATCATCGAGCAGAAGATGGACCGGCACATGGAAATGTGCTATGTTTTCGCCTCCGAGAAGCAGTGGGCCTTCTCAGATGAGTGGCTCGCCTGCCTGGTTAACAACAAGGCCCTCTTCCGAGAGCCCAGCTTGGTGCTCAAGCTACTGGAGACCGTGACGGATGTCGTCACCTCCGACAGGGCCGTCCCCGCGGCGGCGCGCATCAAACAAGTGGTCGACTTGATCCTGGAATGTTACGCCGACCTCTCACTGCCAGATAAGAATAAGGTCCTGGCGGGCATCCTGCGTTCCTGGGGGCGGCAGGGCCTCTCGGAGAAGCTGCTGGCCTACGTGGAGGGTTTCCAGGACAGCCTCAACACCACTTTCAACCAGCTCGCCCAGAGTGCCTCCGAACAGGGCCTGGCCAATGCCGTGGGCTCGGTGGCCCGGCTGCTGATTCTGCACCCTGAAATCACAGTGAAGAAGATGTGCAGCACGGCGGTCCTCCACCTTGGCACCCACAAGTTCCTGGCGCAGATCCTCAGTGCCTTCCCCGCTCTTAGGTTCACGAGAGAGCAGGATCTGGGGCCGGCCCCAGTCACCACCTTCGTAGTGGCCTGCCTCAAAGAAACCGTCTGGGGGAGTTTCTCGACCCCCAAGGAAGAAAAACAGTTCTTGGAGTTCCTGAGCTGCCTGATGTGCCCCGTGAAGCCCCAAGGGATCCCCGTGGCCGCTCTGCTCGAGCCAGACGAGGTGCTGAAGGAGTTCGTCCTGCCTTTCTTGATGCTGGATGCCGAAGAGGTCGACCTCAGCCTGAAGCTCTTCACCCAGACTCTGGAGGCCCACTCGGGCCTGGAGGAGTACTGGCTGCAGACCTGCTTCCCGTTCCCCCTCATCTTCAGCCTCTGCCAGCTCCTCGATTGCTTCAGCAAGTACTGGCAGCTCCCCAGGGAGAAGCGGCGCCTCCCTCTGGACGGGAAGGACCTGGTGATCCACATCCTGGCGCGCCTCTGTGAGATCGTGTTAGCGAACGCCGAGACCTTCGCCCCCGACACCTGGACCAAGTCCCTGTCCTGGCTGCACCGGAAGCTGGAGCAGCTGGACTGGACGGTGGGCCTGAGACTCAAGCATTTCTTCGAGGGCCACTTCAAGTGTGAGGTGCCAGCCACCCTCTTCGAGATCTGTAAGCTTTCCGAGGGCGAGTGGACCTCCCAGCCGCACCCCGGGTACGGGCCAGGTACCGGGCTGCTGGCCTGGATGGAGTGCTGCTGTCTCTCCAGCAGCATCTGCTCGCAGATGCTCGCCCTCCTGGTGGTGGACGTGGGCAACCCGGAGGAGGTCAGACTGTTCAGCAAGGGCTTTCTGGTGGCCCTGGTGCAAGTCATGCCTTGGTGCAGCCCCCAGGAGTGGCAGTACCTCCACCAGCTGACCAGGAGACTGCTGGAGCAGCAGCTCCTCCACGTCCCGTACAGCCTGGAGTACGTCCAGTTTGTGCCCCTGCTCAACCTGAAGCCCTTCGCCCAGGAGCTCCAGCTCTCCGTCCTCTTCCTGAGAGTCTTCCAGTTCCTCTGCAGCCAGAGTTGCCGTAATTGGCTTCCCCTCGATGGCTGGAGCCACGTGGTCAAGCTCCTGGGTCACAGCCTGACCAACCTCCTGGACTCAGTTAGGCTGATACAGTCCGTGGGCCCTTGGAACGAAGGGCAAGAACAGGACCTGACCCAGGAAGCCCTGTTTGTGTACACCCAACTCTTCTGCCACGTCCTGCACATCATGGCCATGCTCCACCAAGAGGTGTGCGACCCCCTCTACGTCCTGGCCTTGGAAATCCTCACTTGCTACGAAACCCTGAGCAAGGCCAATCCTTCCGTGAGCTCCTTGCTCCAGAAGGTGAACGAGCAGCGCTTCTTAAAGTCCATCGCTGAGAACATCACCCCCGAGGAGCGGCGCCACACCCTGCTGCAGAAGATCAGCAACTTCTGATCGCCGCCCACCCGAGAAACGGGCTGGGCCTAGGCAGGGTGGCTCTTGTAGGGGTTGGAGCCGAGCAGCACACACTTGACTACGTGACTTTGTATACAAGCTAAAAGAAGATGTGTGCCAGTAACAGTGTAAAGGAAATAGTTTCTTAGGTATTTGTAACATACAAACTGTAATAAAATTCTCAAGTTTCATCTTGCCTCCAAATCTTCCTCCCCCGTGATACTGGGCTCACCTCAGGTCTCATCCTACTGACTGCCCCCCGTTTGACTCGTGGCAACACCTCGTGTCGCAGAGTAGAGCTGCTGTGTCCCTTACCTTCGCTTTAAGCTTTGTGGGGGATCAACAGGCCTGCCTTCCGTGGTACTACCCAGTAGATTGGAACCACCCACGCCCTGTCAAGCGTAAATTCTGGGTACCATGTGGGGACTTTTCTTCCACCCTAGGATATGGCAAATAAGTCTAACAGTCAAACCATCTAAGGGGGGGGTGGGGGTATCTGTGATCATTTTAACAGGATTTTTTTTCTTTACATTGACTCCCTTTCAAGCGGCATTTAAACATTGTAATATGAGTTATCTTGGAGAAGTGCTGGGGGGGGGTGTCTTCAAAAAGATTGTGGGGGAAATTCCATTGTCCTTCCATTCTATTTTTCTATGAACTTCCTGAAGCCCCGTCATAACCTAGCCCTGGATTTGCCACCAACTGACTGTGATTCCTGTGCTCATCACAGGGGTAGATGAACAGACTCAAGAAGACGGGAGTCTTCTAATGGAGATTACGCTGCTTCCGAGCCGTTGGGCTCAGAATCCAGGGGGGTTGTCCTAAAACGAGGTCTGGTGAGCACAATGAGTAGAATTCTCTTTGCCCGCGGTAGGGTGCAGATGCTCTGGGTATACTACAGAAGAAGGGAATTGGCTGGCCAAGGTGTTTGGGGAAATGGGAGGGGAAAAGCTAGGCCCCAGTACCCCCTCCACATCCACACCTTTGTCTGCACTGGGTCTTGCTCAGGTGCCGCCGCCTCCCCCCTTAAAGTGGGTTGACTGGGCTAGAAAAGGGTCAGGCGACCACGGGGTTCAACTTCTGAGGCCCTGAATGGTACATAGGTTCCATGCTTGCTCACCACAAGGCCGCCAGTCCAAACCCACCAGCCACGCCGGGAAAGATGGCTGCTTTCGGAAAATGTCCACCGTCAGAAAGTACTGTCCTGTAGGGTCGTTACGAACGGGAATCACTCGTTGGTAACTGGTTGGTGGACTGCATCTCGGAGCCGTGCACTGTTGGGGTATGTGGCCGTTTCACGGCATGAACGCTCGCTGTCAGAGCACCCCGGTGAGTCCTCAGTATTTCTGTGACAGAGCAAGCTGGGAAACACGTCCAGGTAGCCCTTGCTTTTTGAAAGTTCACTTTATGCCACTTTGTCTTAGGAACGCCCTATCTTTAGACCAGGGCTTGTTAACAACCAGAAGCCCGAAGATGATTCGCACTTGAACTCGTGCTCAGGGTTTGTTTTGTAGCGCGTGAAGGAGCGGCAGCCCGAGCTGTCACGGAGCGCCTTCCCTGAGCGGGGTGATCACGAGGAGGGGACAAAGCAGAAGTTCATGGAAAATGGAGGAAGATGATGGCATTTCCCATGAGCTTTCTGGGGCCCTCTCATGCACGTTGGTGTGATTTTGGGGCTTGTGTGTTAATATTCTGGAGGTTGTGTTTTTGTGCCTGGGAACACTCAAGAATTTCCCTCATAAATGAACAGGAATTGCTTCTTTGCTTGACACCATCTGGGCTTACAAAAGGTCTCACAGGAACACTGCCTTTGGATGGGGGGGTGGGAACCTCAAGGGGATTCAGACACCATCGGGGTTATCGGTAAAGATGATAGTAAAACAGAAAAATGACAGCATTTGACATTTTAAAAATGGCACCCATTAATGATCGAAACAGTCAAAATTTGAGACACCATTACAGAGTACGTTCAAAAGTTCATGGACAACAATGAATTACGACACTTTAAAAAATTCTAGTCGTGGTGGCCACATAAGAAAAAAAAAAAAGTCATGGTAGCCGTTTCTAAAACCCACCCTTGTCGACCAGGAATGACTAACGTTGGCACCAGAGGGTCCTGTCTACAAATGCTGGGTGAAGGGAACCAGGCGTCTCCTCAGGCAGGAGTCGGTCCAGAGCACACATCCTTTGGCCAGGGCTGTGGGCACTCTCGTCCTCCAGCTTTGTGGGGTGAAAAGGCGGGTCCCCTCCGCGGGCTAGCCCTTGCATCCCCAGTGCTGCCTTCTCAGGCGGCCTGATGGGAACACTCCAGTCTCGAGGAGGAGCCAGCCCAGGGTTTGGGAGGTAGAAGGCCGTCTCCACTTCACAGGCAAAGGGCCGTACCAGAGAGTGGAGCTCCCCAGTCAGCAGCTCCCGAGACCACGCTCCCCTCGCTTCTGTGAGAAGAGTCCTAGGTCTGTGGCTAAGGGGAGAACATGCCTGAGTGGACACACTTTTTTAAAGAGGGTGGTATTTGTGATGGTTACAAACGTGACATTGGTGGTCTTACCACGTCAACCCACAGAGATACTGCTGACCATTCGGTGGCACTCCTACCTGGACAGGTGCTTCCGCTTCCCGTCGCTGCCCACCAGTGAGACTTCTGACTAGACTGGACACTTCAATAGGGCAGGAAGGGTAAGGCAAAGGACCAATGGATCACCACGTTGGTAAACAAACAACCCTCCTTACCCACAGTGACTTCCTCAGGCCAGCGTCACAAGACATTCCTTCGAGCCCACTAGGGGTTGATACTTGCCCTGAGCGGTTGGCTGTCTAAGCGGGAGCCAAACACACCAGTATGTAGGGCCAGGCGGGTGCCCAGACACTTATCATCCGGGTCCACGTGCGCCACGCCCTATGCTTCTACCTCCCAGAGCCCTTGAGATATTATGACCCAAGGAGGAATCCTTGAGCTTGCATTAAAACAGGATCCAATAGTTGTTACTAAGGAAAAAGTGCTTTTGCAAAAGGGGCAGGTTAGAAGAAGGAGATCATATGAATGAATATTCTTTAGAAAACTTCAAACCCATCTGTTTCCGAACACCCGAAAGGCTGCGGCCATCCAGCACACAATTTGGTCCACGGAATACTGAGCGGAGAAGGCAGCTCGTGTGAGGAGGGTGGCCCGCCACTGCCTGAATCCTGGGAGCAGCTAACCATCCTTTTTGGCTTGGGGACCACCAAAGAGCTGGGCTGCCTTCCTGCACAGCAGCGAGAACCAGTAGATCTGGGGAGCGATGAGGAAGGCATTGGCCACATTGCAGTGGAAAGGGATGTGGAATGGCACTTGGTACAGTCTTAGTCCCTGCTGTTGGCCATAGGACCAGTACATGAAGGGGAAGAGGAGGATCCGACAGGCAAAGAAGGTGGCCAGAGTGAGGATGCCATTCACCTTGTACAGAAGGGTGTGCTGCTGCTTTAGCTGCAAAAGAAGAGGGGAGGAGAACACAGTCATCAAGAGGTTGGCCATCGGGGAACGGCTCACCACTCCTTGTCCCGCTCACCTTCCTCAACAGTAACGGCTCAAAAGGGACAAGTGCTAACAAAGGCCTGTTGTTGGGTCCCACCGAGTGGCTCACCCAACGCGTGGCACATCAGGATCTGGCCACGTGGAGCCACAGGGGTTTGTCACTGGCTGGTTTCCAGCAATCGCTGGGTTTTCTTCCCAGTGTGGGAGCGGCTCAAACTTGTTCTGCCTCAGAGCTATCTAAAGCCTCCGCTGACAGAGAGAGGTGGGGGATCGAACCTGGGTCTCCCGCATGGAAGGTGAGCGTTCGCTCACTGTTAACTTCTTTGACGCCTAGATCTACATCTGTTCTGAGGCTTGAAGAAAAAAATGTGTTGAGTCATAGCTACACATGCCCTGCAGTTTTGTTTTTCTTTCCAGTAAGGGTTCTGAACTTGGCCTACGCCACTCAACTGAGGGACGACAGGAACACTGGGTGACAGACAAACCAACCTGGGGCTAAAA